GCGCCATCACACCTGCTGTTTACCTTGCACTCCTCCCTTTCGAATAGCTGATCTGACTCGGGCCTCCTGTCCGAATCTACCTCGTGTACCCGTAAATGCATCTCATTTCTTGCTGGCTGATCGATTTTCATCGGTTCCAGCTCCAGTGTACTTTTTACTTCAGGTGCAATTTCTCAAGCCCTTTGTAGCATGTGCAATGTCGCCTCACCTGCAGATCGCTTAGGCTCAGATTGGTGAGCTCACCTCCATTTCGTGTGAAAGTGTTTTGTAAAGAGATTCGAAGGTTGTAGATGACGGCGGATTTCTCTTGAACAGCTGCTGATTAGCTTTACTACATCATTCTTGTTGACGCTGTTTTCGTGGTAATATCCTTCGATTCAGGCTAAAACATGCTAAGCTTTCGTCCGTCGTATGAAGAAAATCATCAGAGCAGGGTAGTATATTTCTATGTACAAACTTCTCTCGGGTATCTGTTGCCGAGGAATATCCGAGTCACCTCCACAAATTCTTCATCCCAGAATTCCACGGCCATCAAGCGTAAGCCTCTGATAATCATGCTCATAAGTATTCATATCTTAACTTTGTATATATGATGAGACACGAAATTGGATATTAACCCGTAAATGATATCATTCTGAACACTTTTCTCATGGGTGCCCCATTAAGCGAATGGCTTCAACTGTTTGGAATGATAAACTCTCCTCTTCCTCATCATTAATTGTGAACATTATTCGGTGCATAGACTTCAGGAAATCATTTAATTCTTTTCTTCCATGTGAAAAAATTGGGAATAAGTCCTCCAGGTACCGTACAAGAACTTTTGGTTGCAGCGTTAACGCCGTAAAATTCTCCTCTAATTTGTAAACATATACGTTTGCCAATAGAGAAAGGAGCGACCATCCAATATAAAGACCAAATGTATGTACAGAAATGTTGCAGTTGAATGTGAAGTAGGTAGTCCTTATTGTCAAGTTGATTAGTTCTGTTAGCTAATTCATTCTGATACTCTGCTTTGATAATATACTTTTCCCGATCCAAAATTACTACCAGCGCCGTTAACGCCTTTTCTTCATAATTGTTTGTGTACATAGATTGTACATCAACACATACCAATAATCCTGTTTTATTTTAATGTCATTTTCTGATTCTTTTTAAAAATTCATAGGAATGTATCTATCGTTTTCCTTCTTTAGTTTAAAACATATGAACTTTGCCGAATGGTGTGCTGCTCCATACATGTTATTGACTATCAGCTATAGTGGTTCCCCCTTCTTTGTGCATCTTCGGTAACCCACAGGCTGTTGATGGTCGTGCATCCTTTCTATTACCGCAGTTACATGAATATGTGGAACCCCTAAAGCTGATAGTCAAACACCAAACATAGATCGGCATACAAATTAGCTGATAGGCAGTAAAAAGTCATATGCCGAAATGATACTCAATGATACTCATCACAACTACAGACTGAAGATAGGAATGCTAAAGAGTATGATAATCAGAAGCCTGCGATTAATGTACGTGGAATTATGGGTTGAAGAATGTGAAGAAGTGACTCTGATATTCCTCGGTAATGGATACCCGACAGAAGTAATAGATAGAAGCATACTGGCCATGAAAAGCCGATGACAGGACGGTGATTATGAAAGAAAGGTGAGGAGGGGGAAAACTCACAAAAGTAGATATGCCTCCCATCCTGTGAACTAGCTCAATACTACGACCAATATAAAGAAAATGCAATATTTAGGTAAACACGAAGGAAAAAAGCAACACTTCTCAAATCTACCTGCGTAACATAAGGGGGTAGACAGATTGGATTGCTCTGAAATTTACTACATAGCATGCGGCGTATGCAAGCAGGAATACATTGATGAAGCAGCGGAAAAAATCAGTATATGAATCAAGGAACTTCAAAGGCTTGGTAGAAAAATGTATACTGAAAGATTGGATTTAACGAAACACTCACACAGATCGTACACGAGATCAATTTAAAGGCAACAAAAATAAGGGCCTAATGAGGTGAAAACACAAAGAAATGCAAGATCAGAGTATCCATTGACATCCTTGGGGAAAAAGTTTAAGCATCAGGAGATTGGAAGAGGAGAGATTTAGCGATAACTTGCCTATTGCCTAATCAATGTATACGACAAGACAGAATAATGTGGACGCCTTGATCAAGGATTAATTGTAAACTGGAGGAAAATAGATTGCAAGGAAGAAGGGGGGAAGAACTTTTAGAAATAAAGCAAAGATGTTCCCAGTAATTGTAATCTGCTCGAAGAAACAATCACAACTTTAGACGTCTAGGGGTCACGTCATTAGAGCGATGAGAGATAATAACCTTCATATAATTCCTATATTATAGCCAAATTGGTCGAGAGCTAGCAGGCGACTATAAGTAAATGTTCACATCAAAGATATGAAGGACAAGATGTTGTGGAATTTTGTATAGTCGCAGTCTCCTTGCGTTTTCTAGGTCTTTTTTGAACTTATTTTCCCAACTTGGTTGTATCAGTAGGAAGACCTAGAGAACCTCATCGGGTCCGGAAATTATAGTATGCATGACAATTTCCAGAGTCGAAAGGTGGACTTGTTAGATTTCCAGACGTTTCGCCGTAATCGTAATCGGCATAATCAGTGAGCCTTGTCATTCTTAGCACCACATTACAATTCGTCAAAGTGACAGGTGAAGTCGATCCTTTAACCAATATTCTGCTTAAAAATTGTGGTATCTCTCCTTCCGACCTTATATTTTTACCAATCTTATATCTTCGTTTCACCCCTTCAATATAAAGATTTCTTATTTGCTTATTTAAATGTGTTATGTTGCGCTCTTTTTAACGGATTTCATTAGAACTCTCCACATTGACTTTCTCGTCCCTTCACCCCCTTTACCCTTGCGCTGGGAATGTTGATCAGAGTCTGCGGTTCTACTCGCCAATCCTCTTCCCATATGTCTTATCAGAGTCCTATTCGTGCACCTTAGGATCCGCCTCATAACTTCCTTGTTCAGTTATTTTGCTCGACCCCTGCCACCCTTTCTGCATTACCCGAAACGTTATTTACTACAATTTCTCAAGCCCCTGATGGCACGCATACTCCTGCCTCGTTGAGTTGGCGTTTCAAAATCATGATTCTCAAAAAGGATGGGATACTAACTTGAAGCTAAGGTGCCTGAGTAATTCTCATGACCAGGCCTTTGCTTCCTGGACCACGTCTATGACCAAACATGTCTACTACTAGCATTTATCGTGCTTCTATCCATAGTGCTAAGTCCTTGAATTCGTATGCCATAGTCTCTTGTCTGCTAACACACACACACTTCCTCTCTCGCTTCTGGTGTAGGCGTGCTGAGCTTTCGTCCATTTTATGATAGACATCATCAGAGCTGATTGTCATTCTTGTAAAATTCTTACGTTAACATTAAAGCAAAGACACTATCCGGCTCTATCTTACTTCTAATATAGACTCATTTAAGCCTAAAAAAATTAAAAATTAAAAGGCCTAGATAAATCGAGATAGAGTGGTTTGGTTAATTTCCTTTCATACTTGTCCTGTTATTTTTTCTCGATTGTATGAGTATGTGTATTTATGCGTGTTAGCGTCTATATGCAATACGGTTCCTAAATCAGAGTTGTCAAAG